CACGCACGCTGTTCGACACCACAACCGCATCCAGCCCATACGTGCACGAACTGATCGCTATAAGAACAGCCCAGTCCCAACCATTGTAAAATTATCATTAACTTGTAATAAACCAGTGTATTCACCCCAGTAAATACTACTTGCACTGTCACTATGTTGAAATGCACTGCAGTTTGAGCTTTTCCCCATCTAGTTATTATATATCTTATTTGTATCACTTATGTTACTTGTATATTATTTGTAATTCTAAACCCATTCCCCAAATATGTAACTGTATATTTTCAGCCTTCTGACTGCAGCTCTTTCAATAAACCGTTAATTATTATTATTATTATTATTACACACACACACACACACACACTCTCTCTCTGTCATGGTAGTATTAGTCAATGTACGTAAGAGTGTGTCAGAACCCTGCACACGCTCACACTAACACCCTACTCGTGTACACTGATCCACTACTAACCTAACCTAACCTAATCTGCCCTGACCTGACTCTGACTATGTACAGTACAGCGTTCCACGAATTGAACTGTGCCTTCGCTGTATCTGTGAGAGAGACAAAGAGAGAGAAGAGAGAGAGAGAGAGCGCGGTGGTAGTGGGCCCGCACGCTCTGGTGAGAGTGGGGGATGAGGGGGTTGGTTGGGGGGGAGAAGGAGGGGAGAGAGAGCACGCCGAGGGAGGAAAAGGGGAGGGTCAGTATGGAGGGGAGGGAACAGGGAAGTGGGAGGCGTTTCTTTGCCCTGGCCAGGACTGGGGCCCCTCTGAACGCTTGTTGTAGAACGTTCGTGTAACCTCCCCACCCCGTGCGTGTGTGTGTGTGGAAACAAGCTTTTAACGGATTTCTTAGGCTATCGTTTGTTGAATCGACTTACTGTGCGTATATCTGCACTCTCAATGTACATGCTGAAGCAGTGTGAATGTCTGATCATTTTAAGGATTATATATTTATTTATCTATCGTGTGTGTGTGTGTGTGTGTGTGTGTGTGTGTGTGTGTGTGTGTGTGTGTGTGTGACGCTTCCCTGTGGAGGACGCTTCCAGGCGCGTCTGTATGTGTACGCTCTGTGCGGCTTTGTAACTCCCATTGTTTAACCCCTTGTACTGTACTATATGTATGTGTGTGTGTTACGGGTGTGTGTCAGGGTAGTCACCGTATAAGTGTTCAAAGTAATAGACGTTCTTGCCAAATAAGGAGAACTTTTAGAAATTCTCCTCCTATGAAATGTTATCACTATTAGGCAACTGTTCCCCATCTGGTGTAAAATATAACATAAACTGAAGACTCCTCCCCTCACAGTACCCACCTGAAGACTCCCTCCCTCACAGTACCCCTGAAGACCCCCTCCCCTCAGTCATCCACCTGAAGACTCCCTCCCTCACAGTACCCACCTGAAGACTCCCTCCCCTCACAGTACCCACCTGAAGACTCCCTCCCTCACAGTACCCACCTGAAGACTCCTCCCTCACAGTACCCACCTGAAGACTCCTCCCTCACAGTACCACCTGAAGACTCCTCCTCACAGTACCCACCTGAAGACTCCTCACAGTACCCACCTGAAGACTCCTCCCTCACAGTACCACCTGAAGACTCCCTCCCTCACAGTACCCACCTGAAGACTCCTCCCTCAGTACCCACCTGAAGACTCTCCCTCACAGTACCCACCTGAAGACTCCTCCTCACAGTACCACCTGAAGACTCCTCACAGTACCCTCCTGAAGACCCCCTCCCTCACAGTACCCACCTGAAGACTCCTCCTCACAGTACCCACCTGAAGACTCCCTCCTCACAGTACCCACCTGAAGACTCCCTCCTCACAGTACCCACCTGAAGACTCCCTCCTCACAGTACCCACCTGAAGACTCCTCACAGTACCCACCTGAAGACTCCCTCCTCACAGTACCACCTGAAGACTCCCCCTCCCTCACACCCACCTGAAGACTCCCCCTTCCTCACAGTACCCACCTGAAGACTCCTCACAGTACCCACCTGAAGACTCCTCCCTCACAGTACCCACCTGAAGACTCCTCCCACAGTACCCACCTGAAGACCCTCCTCACAGTACCACCTGAAGACTCTCCTCACAGTACCCACCTGAAGACTCCTCCCTCACAGTACCCTCCTGAAGACCTCCTCACAGTACCCTCCTGAAGACTCTCACAGTACCCACCTGAAGACCTCACAGTACCCACCTGAAGACTCTCACAGTACCCACCTGAAGACTCTCACAGTACCACTGAAGACTCTCTCACAGTCTCCTGAAGACTCTCCCTCACAGTACCCACCTGAAGACTCCTCCCCAGTGCACCCCACCTGAAGACTCCCTCCCTCACAGTACCCACCTGAAGACTCCTCCCTCACAGTACCCACCTGAAGACTCCCTCCTCACAGTACCCACCTGAAGACTCCTCCCTCACAGTACCCACCTGAAGACTTCCTCACAGTACCCACCTGAAGACTCCCTCCCTCACAGTACCCACCTGAAGACTCCTCCCCCCCACAGTACCCACCTGAAGACTCCCCCCTCCCACAGTACCCACCTGAAGACTCCTCCTCACAGTACCCACCTGAAGACTCCTCCTCACAGTACCCACCTGAAGACTCCTCCTCACAGTACCCTAACTCTCACAGTACTACCTGAAGACTCTCACTAGTTTTGCTGCCCTTGCAACTACTGAATGCATCCAGACACAAATACAACATAGGTACAATAACTTTATTACAATGAAAATAGAACCTAAGTTAATGAGGTCGTTAGGTTAGGTTAGGTTAGGTTAGTGTTTGGTTAAGTTAGTTTAGGATAGGTTAGGTTTGGTTAGATTGAGGTAGGTTAGGTTAGGTTAGGTTAGGTTAGGTTAGTGTTTGGTTAAGTTAGTTTAGGATAGGTTAGGTTTGGTTAGATTGAGTTAGGTTAGGTTAGGTTAGGTTAGTGTTTGGTTAAGTTAGTTTAGGATAGGTTAGGTTTGGTTAGATTGAGTTTACGGGTTATTTGGAGTAAGTTAGGTTAGGTTAGTGTTAGGTTAAGTTAGTTTAGGTTCGATTAGGTTACCGTTAGGGTGGTTAATCATCATGTGAAGTAAGCTGAGGGGCTAAACTTCAGGTGATCTTTATTTCCTACATGTGTTTACAGGTGGCCAGTGAACACATTCTTTAAAGGTCTTGTTTCTGGTGTTTTTCCTGGAAGTGACGACGGGAGAGAGACCATGTGACCAGCTGACTCAACCTAACCTAACCTAAGCTAAACTAACCTAACCAAAGCTAATCTAACCTAACCTAAGCTAATCTAACCTAACCTAAGCTAATCTAATTGAATTGAATCTAACCTAAGTTAACTTAATTTAACCTAACTTAATCTAATCTAATTCAATTGAACTTAACTTACTCTAAACTAACTTAACCAAACTTAACTTAACCCTAATCTAACTCTCAACTAGCTAAACCTAACCTAACCTAACCTAATCTTACCTCGGAGTATCCAGTTTGAAGGTCTTAAATAATCGTAAGCAATTAAAATAGACTATTGTCCAACATATTAAAATCATACCTTTTGTAAGATCAATAGAACGCGTCTTATTTTAGGTAGAGTCTTGGGGGTAATTTGTCGCCATTTTGGACATCTATTTTGTTTTTTGTCTATTAGTCAGAGTAATGTCGTGAGTTAGTAGGGTAATTTAGTATGTATGTATATGTGTGTGTGTGTGTGTGTGTGTGTGAGGGGGCGCACACTGTACAGTTTCTCTTACATCAACACTGTCTTGTCCTTGGCCTTCAGTCTCAAAGGAACACATTATTATTTTTTTTTTCCCAAGTGTAAACATTTAAAACGTGTTTATAATTATGATAGAGTTCCAGGTATTTTTATTATCACCTTAGTTGTCTATATTTATGGAGAATTAATTATATTTATTCTTACATTAACAAATATAATTAATGAGAATTTTTTGTAGTTATTCTTACGTTAAAAAAATAAAAAAAATATTAGTTTGAACCTTTGATGAATTTATCGTTATGTTTTATTCTCGTTCTCACTAACTGTATAGCTGGTGGGCTGGGTTGGGTTCGGTATGAGGGTGGAAATAAATAACAATGGTATACAAATCTTAGTGAATCCGGATAGACTAGACGGTGGACTGATTCACCTCTGGCTTGGCGTAGCACCACAAACTCATTACGTCACAAGTATTCCGGGTAGAATTTTTAAACCCCCCTCCACACACACACACACACATCCAATGGCGACGCGGCGGTTACGTAACGCCCCTGACAGACCGTTACTGCACTCTCTTACCGTACGGACTCCCAAACATTCGCGCTTTAACTTGAATCATCTCGCGAAAAGATGTGTAGTGTCCATTCTGAGTTCGATGGGGGGGGGTGGGGTGGGGATCGAGTCAGATGCGTATTTCGGGGTCAGTTAGATGCGTATTTTGGGGTTAGTTAGATGCGTATTTATATTATCCATTTACTGAATTAATGCGACATTTATCTTTCTCTTCTTAAAGTGAGTTAGTTAGAAGTGTTCTAACATCTGTTAATTTAGGAGAGAAATGATTTTGAAACAATACAAAGCTCTAGAGACTCAGAGATTGGGTTACGTAACGTGCCCTCAGACTTCTCTCTCCTCCTCCCCCTTGTAACACATCGGTGCCTTTGTGACGGCCTCAACCTAGGAGGGGTTAAAGGGTGCTTGGAAGAGGAAGAGGAGGAGGTTCAAGAAGGTAGAAGAGAAGTGGCTGAGAGCTTAAGAGAGAGGAGGGTGTCGACACCTGTCCAAGAGTTTTAGCGGTAATTATTTGTTAGTTGAGAGTATTTACCAAGAGTTTTATAGCGGTATTGACAAAGGCTTTAGCTGGTGATGAGTTTTAGAGATTTTTCATAAGAATCTTTAGAATTTTACTAGTTGATGGCAGCGTTTTAAAAAGAGTTAATGATCATTTTCAGGAATTGTAGCGATATTTTCCAAGAGCTTAAGATGATGGGAGCAAAATAATATATCTCAAGAGTTTAATCAGCATTTATCAAGAGTTTAAAAAATAGTCATTTAGTTCAAAATTATGGCATCAGCATTTTTCAGAATTCAGGATGATGGTGTCAGCATTTACGAGAGTTTGAGAAATAGCAATATTGTTTATGTACATTGAAGGCTATAGGATAAGTTTGATTTAATGGACTACCAATGTGAGAGTCCTGTGATAAGTGTAATATGTCTTCAAGGATATGACAACATTGTTTATAAAGGTTCAGGGTTCATATAATATCATTTAAAAGGGTTCGAGGTTCATATAATATAACTTAAAAGGGTTCGAGGTTCATATTATATCGTTTATAAGGGTTCAAGGTGCCTATGATATCGTTTATAAGGGTTCAGGGTTCATATAATATCGTTTATAAGGGTTCAAGGTTCCTATTATAATGTTTATACGGGTTCAGGGTTCATATAATATCATTTAAAAGGGTTCAAGGTTCATATAATATCGTTTAAAAGGGTTCAGGGTTCATATATCCTTTAAAAGGGTTCAAGGTTCATATAATATCGTTTATAGGGGTTCGGGGTTCATATAATATCGTTTATAGGGATTTGAGGTTCATATAATATTGTTTATAAAGGTTGAAGGTTCCTATAATATTGTTTATAAGGGTTCAAGGTTCATATAATATCGTTTATAAGGGTTCAAGGTTCATATAATATCGTTTAAAAGGGTTCAAGGTTCATATAATATTGTTTATAAAGGTTCAAGGTTCCTATAATATTGTTTATAAGGGTTCAGGGTTCATATATCCTTTAAAAGGGTTCAAGGTTCATATAATATCGTTTATAAGGGTTCAAGGTTCATATAATTTTTTATAAGGATTCAAGGTTCATATAATATCGTTTATAAGGGTTCAAGGTTCATATAATTTTTTTATAAGGGTTCAAGGTTCCCCTAACATATCTTATAATGCCTATAGAGATTCAAGAATAAGATAACACAGTTTATAAAGGTTCAAAAATAAGATAACACCATTTATAAAGGTTCAATAATAAGATATCATTGTTTTTAAGGGTTCAAAGACATATCACCACGAATAAAGGTTCTAGTGTAATATAAGATTCTTTATCAGGGTTCAAGGTTTTTATAACACTGCTTATGGGGGTTCACTGATAAGATAACATATTTTATGAATAGTTAAGAGATATATGACTATTTCTGAATGTTCAAGGCTAAGATAACATAATTTATAACGGTTCAGTATTAAGATAACAGTGCTTATAAAGGTTCATAGATAAGGATAACAGATGATGTGTATTTTTCCAATCATTGTGAACAACCTGTAGCCTGCAACGGTTAATAACCTGTAACCATGGGGTGGGAGTTTATAGTGGCCTGTAATTTGACAAGCAGCTCACAACAACCTGTAGCTCTCAACAACCTGTATCTTACAACCTGAAACCGACAACCTTTAGCTAACAAAATATACCTCAAAATAATCTGTAGCTCACAATAACTTTTAGCTCACAACGACCTGTAACTCACAACAACCTGTAGCTCGTAACAACCTGTACCTCACAACAACCTGTAGCTCGTAACAACCTGTAACTCACAACCTGTAAATCACTACAACCTGTAACTCACAACATGCATCTTACACCCTGTAACTCACAACAACCTGTAACTTACAACAATCTGTAACTCACAACCTGTAACTCACAATAACATGCATCTCAAACCTGTAACTCACAACAACGTGTATCTTAACCTGTATCTCACAACCTGTAGCTCACAACAACCTGTACCGCACAACAACCTGTAGCTCGTAACAACCTGTAACTCACAACCTGTAAATCACAACAACCTGTAGCTCACAACAACCTGTAGCTCGTAACAACCTGTACCTCACAACAACCTGTAGTTAACAACAACCTGTAGCTCACAACATACATCTCACAACCTGTAACTCACAACAACCTGTATCTCACAACATGTATCTCAACATGTATCTCATAACATGTAACTCACAACCTGTAACTCAGAACAACATGAAACTCACATGTAACTCACAACATGTATCTCACAACAACCTGTAACTCATAACATGAAACTCAGAACCTGTTACTCACAACAACCTGTACCTTACAACAACCTGTAACTCACAACCTGTAACTCACAACATGTATCTCACAAAAACCTGTAACTCATAACATGAAACTCAGAACCTGTTACTCATAACAACCTGTAACTTACAACAACCTGTAATTCACAACAACCTGTAACTCACAACCTGTAACTCACAACATGTATCTTACAACAACCTGTAACTCACAACCTGTAACTCACAACATGTATCTTACAACAACCTGTAACTCACAACCACAAGTACATCATAATGACATGTAACATAACTACTGTATGTTACAACCTTTATCTTTATATCTATAACCTGTAACACCTGTAACACCTGTAACCTGTATAACCTGTACTTATGTCGGTCTTTACACCTGTACCATACATATCTCTGGGTCACACACACACACACACACACACACACACACACACACACACACACACACACACACACACACACACCACTTCAGTCTTGTACAGTAAATAATGGATGGTACCCCTTTTATGAAGTTAATGGTTAGGTTAGGTTTAAAGGTGACACCATTAACCATTGAATTTCTCACAGCTCTGACTTGCTAGAAGACGAAGGCGACGCCCCCCTTAGGCCTACAGTATAATCTCTTGCTTGAGGTTTCGCTGTTATTGGCCTAGATATTGTTGTTGGAGATGGGAGACAGGGTGTTGAAGAGGGGGGGAGGAGGTGGTGGGGGTTATTGCTGGTGATGGTGTTGTCTCCTCTCTCCCTCCTTCCCTCCCTCCGTCTCTCTCTTTCTGTTCATCTGTCTGTCTATTGCAGGGGGGTTCCGTCTCCGTGTATTGATTGCGTAGGCCTAGGTGTACGGGCATAGGCCTATTATTGCTTCTTGGGTCGTTCTGTAAAATAATTCGTTGTTTTTAGGAGCCTCACAGAGATATATTGATCTAGTGGTGACGGAGAGTAAAAGCTACAGTCAAATGTACAATAAAGTGATTTAAATTCGCTTAATTTGACATGAGAACAAAATCTTTGTTAATGTTAGATGTAGGCTGTAAGAATCTACGGTGAGAATCAAGTAGAAACTGTGTCAAGTGTCGACAAGCTGAGGGAGAGTCATTGGGTGCGGGTCTCCAAGACGGTGTTGGGTGTAGACGGGGCCGCCTCCACCAACCATTTCTGGCCAGTTATTCCTTATCTCACACTACGTAGTACAACAACATATACAAACTCATCTAGGAATCCACACACTGCATATTTATCTGTACTTCCAGACGGTCCACAAAAGGCGATTGTGTCCAGTCATTAATGCGACGAGCTCAATCAATACGGTACAAACACTGGGCAAAATATGTTGGGTTAAACTGCGCCAACGATCCTGGCGGAGGAGACTCTGCTCGTGAAGGTTCCCTAGCCAGCCACCCGCGGCGCCACCGTCGCCTCCACCCGACCCTGTCCAGCTGCTCATGCAGCTGCTGCTGCTGCCGCCGCCGCCGCTCTGCTGTCACCGCCCCCGCTCTTCTGCTGCCGCCCTACTGCTGTCTCCCTGCTGCAGCTGCCACCGCTCTATTGCTACATCTGCCGCTTATCATTAGACTGTTGCTGTTGTTACTATCTACCACTAATACTGCTGTTACTCGAGCTATTTTTATTGTTATTGCTGTCACTGCTGTTGTTGTGGAGTAATGCTAGGCAGCAAGGTGGTCCGGTACTGAGATAACTGCCTAGTACTTGGCAGTGAGACACGC